CAAAATTTGGTTGCTCTCTTTACCAGATTGCGTTCCTTCCAGGAGCGTCGTATAGTAGAAAGACTCCACTGTAGTCTCTGCTTCAACACTTTCCCCAAAATCCACCTGTTACCAGCATGCCGTCGGCGTGGATGTCATCAGAATATCTGCAAGGACTGTCTCGACGGTTGGTACGGTCAGAACAGTGCAGGCACTATCATCAACACCGCCGCGCTCTTCTGTCCATTCTGTCGCCGCCCTCCAGCTGCACGTACTTTAGCAGCGTATGGCAAAGGTATTCACGCTGTCGGTGACCTTAAAGCAGCGTTTGAAGAAAGAGGCTCATGGATTCATGCATGGTGCTTTGAATGTGCCAAAGCCAAACGGCTAGTTGAGCGGGAGTGCTCAAGAGGAGCTCCGGATGCTGTGGAGCAGTGGAGGTGTGAGGATTGCATCGATGCTGCCTATGAACGTGCGCGCATAGCTGAGGTAGCAGCTCGAGAAGCAATGGAGCGCGCTGCTCAACTGGATGCCCGCAGAGCAGCAAACGCACAAAGAGCGCTAAGACTTGCAGAGGCTGTCCGGAAAGAGCTCGAATGTCCTGTGAAGGAGTGCCCTGGTTGCAAGGTTCCAACACAGAAGACTTTCGGGTGCGATCACATGACTTGCCGTTGTGGCACTCATTGGTGCTGGGCGTGTGGTGACAAGTCATCACGCAGTAATATCTATGATCATATTCATCAAGTGCATGGAGGATTGTACACAGGTGGGAATGGGCTTGGACTTGACTGGCAAGACTAGTATGACTAGCCATGTATCCATAACCACACCGTTGAAACTAATCTCTTGGTATTGAAGCCCGCCATTGCTTTTCGTAACGTTTCTGGAACATCTTTTGCTTCTCCCAGAATCTCTCGGGCGTATAGCCCATGTCACCTTCAGTGAAGACATTCACTCCGATCCTCCACTCGCCTTCTACTGGTCCATACTCTCGAAGGTCCTGGAAGAAATGGGTAGCTCCTTTGGGAATTTTGTTACGTGGTGGCCATGTGCCATCCGCCTCCACGGCGAATGAGTACATGTTCCCTCCATGATGGGTTGGTGGGCCTGAGTAGAACATGTCTATACATTCCATGATTTTCGCTTTATTGTTGTCGTCATTGAAGTATTCATGAATTGCAGTAACAAACTTTCCAACTGTGATAGGCGAGTCCGCTGAGTTCTTGAGTATCAAGGGCTGCGGTCCCTTCCACCGCTGGTCATCGCTATCGTGCTTGCATTCGATGAAATCGAATCTATCTTCCACAGCCCTTGCTTCTATTTCTAGGTGGTCGAACGGAATAGCTGTAAGCAATTCAGAAGCCATTGGATGTCCGAAGAATGGCACAGGCGTGCAGTCATTGTGGTCGAAGGTATCCCAGGCCTGGATGTCGCTCAAAGAGCCAAACAAGTCCCAGCGTAGTCTGTAAAGAATGTCTCGTCTAATATTGGAAGCCGGACGTTGGATTGGACCTGAATCTGGTTCGAGCTTCATAGCCGGATCTGCCTTGAAGGTGTCAAATTTCGGTGTGCTGTTCAACATAGCGGCTAACGATGGAGAATGTCTGATCATGCACTATGGAACGTATCTGTCAAAGTACAGTGAATGCGACCCGGAAATTCCATGTATTTATACGCACAAAGATCATCCAATCTTCTATACGATGCCTGACGGAAACATAAGGCAGCAGCATTAGCGCTTTTCCCTTTTCGGCTCTAGTGCCGGGTTACGAAGTGAAATACTCCAATGCCTGATGTAGCCAGAGGTGTTTTCGTCGCAGGTTTGCTGTGTCACAGACCTTGCGATATCTATCAAAGAAGCTCAGGAAGAATATGCATATGTACCTGTAGCTCTACGATTCCGTCACTATTAGTCACACTCACCCGCAAAGGGGACAACTCCACTGAAACATCAACTTCCAAACGGCCTTTTGACACAATAGCAACATACATATGAAATGAAGTGTCGAGCTAAACGTTTGATCAGGGAGTACGCTAAGGCACGCCCCATTGCGAACATCTTACTGCCTTCGTACTGCTTTTGTGTCAGTGCGACTAGTGCGCTGAGTTAGTGAATATAGCGCCTGGAAGCTATGAAGTAGCCAAGCTAACAAGAAATTCATGAAAGATAACCTGACCACTAACTTTCGTCCGCTGTCCTGTGCAATACCTACGGATCTACGGACTTTGCTATTGCCGGTGCGTGACACCGTCTGCTCTTGGTGTTGCTCTCGGATAATCTGGGCCGTGAGGAACGCACACATTAGCCTGAAAATGACCTGCCAAAAACAGAACACTCGGTGGTGCAATAATTTGTGTCCTTCATTTTGATCAGGTCAGCAACCATCAGACTCGAGCGAGAGTGAGTAGGATAAACATTGACAACAGCAACAATAGCAACATACTTCAATCTTGTTTATACAAAGCAGATAGAGCTTATTTAGGTCTATCTTGTGTGTAAATTTCAAGCAGTTATATCAAGATTGATGTCTTGTCATTACTCGCTCTCTTTTCACGGTTGCTGAGCTCACATGGAAAGGGGACACAAAGTATTGCACAACCTAGGGCTTTTGACGACACAACAATTACGATTGGTCAGCCTGAAACTGCAGATACGGTCAAGCAACACTCTTGACAAAACCAAGCAGTTCCTTTTCAAGAGAATTTAGCCTTGTACTGCACATCCACAACGGTCTGATGACAACACTCGAAGCGGCAAGCCTTTCATCCGAGAACATCCCCACAAAGTGCTCATGCACATCCATAGCGGCTACTTTGCGACCAAGGTGGTATAACATAATTGGGCGCATGCTCGTTTGAGTTGATGGTAACCTTTATTAGTGGGCCTACAGCGGCAGCGGCGTGGTGATCGGCGGGCACCATGCCCTTTCACTACTAGTACATGTGTAAATCATCCATGGCTTGGAGCCATAATGCTTGTTTACCAAGACCGTATTCACCGTGTTCTGTGTTTCACACGCAGCATGGACTGGTTGCACAGGAGAATCGTTGAGGATCTTCAGACCCTGTAGATTTTGCGGGGTTGGGATAACGGCAACTTTAAGTACTGCGGCATTTCGACAATTATTCGATTGCAGAGCATCTTCACAATTCGTTCCCACCATGGCGAGCCACTACAAGGAACTATGGCACGCTTTGCAGACAGCAGCAGTTGCTGCTCTGGTTCTTGCAGTCTGCGCTTTGCTGCCGAAACTCAAACACCACTTGAAGCTGAGCAAGCTTCCTGTTCTCGGAGGATCGGCCTCTAGTGAGAAACAGCGCCAGAAGTTCATGGCATCCGCGAAGGAAATGTACATGGATGGCTATACAAAGGTAAGCTTGCTCGGAATGCAAGCAGTTACAACGATTCACCCGTGTGTAGTTCAAGAACTCTGTATACCGCATAGCATCATCTAACGGCGAGGATGAAGTCATTGTTCCAGTGAGCCTGTTGCCTGAGCTGCGCAAGCTTGGAGACGATGTCCTCAGTTTCCCAAAGGCTATCGAAACGGTAAGCATGTAGCTGCTGAACCAAGCCACCTTTGAAACCTAATAAAACTAGCTTATGGAGACCAAATACACCAAGGTGAATCCGGAGTTCAAGTTAATGATACACTCTGTAAGGTCTGATCTTACTCCTGCTCTTGGTATGTGCTCAGAAGCGCGGTACTTGAATTCCCACTGACTTGACATCAGGCCGTATCAACTTGCTTGTCCGGGACGAAGTCGACGTATGCGTCAAGAAGTATATGCCTGACTGCAAAGACTGGACAGAAGTACCTATCTATACAACCCTAGTCGACATCGTTGCGCAAGTATCCGGCCGCGTTTTTGTTGGACCAGAGTTGTGTGAGGACCCGGAGTATCTCGACTGCGCGAAGAACTACACGTTGGACTTGATAAAGTCGATCGATGCCATCAAGGAGTTGCGGCCTTGGCTTCGTCCTGTCCTAGCTCCACGAATTCCAGAGGTTCGTAGCCTTCTCCAGTGGGAGCAAACAGCAGCGCAGTTTCTATACCCGCTGGTGAAAGAAAGAAAAGAACTCGCGAAAAACGACCCCGATTGGCAGAAGCCAGACGACATGACACAGTGGATGCTTGACCGTGCTAGCAGCGCCAGTGAGGATGTCCCTGTTGAAGTGTTCGCCAAAGGTCAACTTGGGTTGATATTCGCTGCCATCCACACCACCACACTGACAGCCACAAACATTCTCTTCACTCTAGCAGCGACACCAGAATACATTGAACCTCTGCGAGAGGAGTTTCGTAGCGTGCTGGCTCAAAACGATGGAAACATAACTGCCAAGGCTCTCCAGCAGATGGAGAAGCTCGACAGCTACATGAAGGAGGTCACCCGGATGTACACCCCTGGCCTCAGTACGTTTTTCTTCTCTTACTCCTACTCCTCACGTAGCGCGCTAACAGTTCCAGCTTCCTTTGGCCGTCGCGTCCTCAAAGGCATCACCCTCTCCAACGGTCAGTACATCCCGCCAGGCGTCATCATCGAAGTGCCCGCACACGCCGTCTACCACGACTCGTCCGTCTACCCCGACAGCGACAAGTTCGACGGCTTGCGACACTACAAGCTGCGTCGCGGCGGCAGTACCACAGACCACGCACGCAATCAGTTCGTCACTACAAACGAACAGAATCTCTCGTGGGGGTATGGACGCCATGCTTGTCCTGGTCGGTTTTTCGCGACCAACGAGATCAAGATGATCGTTGCGAGGTTGATCCTCGACTATGATATCAAGATGCCAAACGGTCTGACAGAGAGGCATGACCCGGTTAACTTTGGAAAACAGAGCTTGCCAGATACCTCGAAGCCAATTCTGTTCAAGAGAGTGGAGGCATAGGCTGATGTGTGGCGTTAAACGGGCAATGTTTACGCTTCCATAGGAATAGTCATGACAATAAAAAAACTTGACGCCAAATTATGATTCCTAGACATCATCGTAGCAAAAAGAGGGCAAAAAAGATGCTTCCGTCACGGGGAATCGAACCCCGGCCACATCGGCACTTGCTAATGAGAGCGATGTATCCTAGCCACTTGATGCTTGTTAGTGATTGTTGTTGAAATGGAAGTGGTGATTGAGCTTACCTAGACCATAACGGATATGTTTGATGGAGAGAAGACACAGAGTACAAGCTATATCCTCCATCAAAACAAACGATCTATGCTGTGGTATGCTTTGTGTTTGCCAGCCACAAAAATCTTCTTCTATTGCTCAGATGTGGGGCAGGAAACACTACCGGTCCATTCCAAAGTCTGCATTCACAAAGTCTCCGCAACAACCATTGGTCCTGCAACTTCATCCCTCTTCTCCTTACCCGCTAGCAACTCCACAAGCGTAAGCGCAAACAACAGCGCCGTGCCAGGTCTGTTCACTTATTAGCCACATGTCCGCTCGACATACACATCAGCTCAAAGCGAGAACTTCCAAGTACTCACCCACGACTCGTGACCACCTTGCCGTCTACCACGATCCTCTCCTCGCTGTACTCCCATCCTTTCGCCTTGATTTCATCTCTAACACTCGGATGACTAGTAACTTTTGCCTTCCTGCCCGCCTCACTTTCCGTCTTACCACTCGCTGCGAGTTCCTGCGCAGCAACAAGTGCGGTCGTGCCTGCGCAGATGGCAGCAACATACTTTCCCTGCTGGCGGAATGAGGTGATGAGTTGGAGGACCTTATTAGAAGCACTGAAAGTTGTCGCGCCAGGAGCACCTCCAGGGAGGATGAGGAGGTCGTAGGATTCGGGGGAAGGGATAGAGGAGAGAGTGGAGTGGTCGGGGACGATGCGAATGTTGCGGGTCATGCTGGTGGAATGGTGAGTGGATGAAGGTACAAGTACACACTGGGTGAGCGTACTGTGCGTAACCGTCATTCTTGAGGTCTATGCCTGCAGATTGGATCTCGAACCCCGCACGGGTCAGGACTTGAGTAGGTCAATTGTTTGTATCAGGTGAAGCTGTGTGATGGTACTGACCATCATATGGGGTAACGAACTCAATCTCCTCCGAACCGTCTGCTACTAGGATCAAGGCTCTCGGCATCTTATCGGTTCAAGTCAAGGTACTACAATCTCAAAGATGATGGAACAATATGACCAAGGTTAGGTCTGGTGTTCTGATGCATTGTCTCGGCTTCGGCTGAATATGACGTAACTCATGGTGTGAGCAACTGTGGGGAAAGAGCGAAGGATCACCAAAAACAAGATCCCGGGAAGGGAAGAAGCGAGACATTGTGGCTTATAACCCGGGGTTATCCTCCGACTTGCGGGTGAGATTCCGGCGGGTAAGATTTACATTGAATTTATAGAGTGGGTGCCAGTGTACCGGATCTAAGATGGCTGGTTTTGAATGCATACAAGACAGTCTTGGAAAATCAGTTCAATCGCTCAAGTTTCATGAAGAAAAAGAAAGGTGTTGTTGCATCTCTGTAACTCAGCAAATTGCTTGATATCGTGAGACATGTCAGGTAACAAGCGCATCGCGATCTTCTATATACGTTCGCATAGACTCGATTTCTACATGCGGCTCGTCAAACTAAACGTTCAACCCTAAAATGCACTATGAAACCCCATAAGCGCCTTCTATTGTAACCAAATCCCAGGATATCTCATAAGCTCGTGCAGGATGCAGATCTCCAAATACGGTTCGAGACGGAAGCCAACCGGGGCCGAAATTCCATCTCAGTTCCACCTCTTCAGTATCATTATTAGAGTGGTGTATAACTCGATGGAGCGCCTGCCTCCTCCATCTGGCTGCTGGAAAGGACCGAAGGGGTATGTTAGGAAACAAAGCCTGTCCATGTCTAATTGTTGCTGTACGCATCGCAAGAAAAAGGTATCAGATCCGGTCGAAAAGATCGGTAACAAAAGCACAAATATAACGAACCAGGCAGCGGTCCACCGGTGCATATGGACTCAAACTCCGGGTGTGATAGTAAAGGTCCAAAATGACCATGATGGTTCGAGGTCCTCACAAAGGGTGGTTGTCCAAGGCAATCACAAGCTCATAGTCAACCATTCCTGTATAAGAGTTAGTATGTAATCTGTCATATCGCACAAGACGAACTTACCCATTCTGCAGGACCAGAGGATTGCAAACCTTGACCCATAGCACCCATAGGAAGAGCACCCAAGTTCTGGCTTGGAAATGGACTTGGCGCTGCAATTGGAGCATCCTTCCTTCGAAGTGGTGTCTTTCCACTTGTGTCATCGGCATCGGCCATCTCCAGCTCTTGTGATCCACTCTTGCTCTGAGCGCGAGCTCGTCTCGGGGCCACGTTAACACTACGAGGTTGAATAGTGCTCACTGAGTTGACGTTTTTGGGTGGACCAGGAGCTATGGGAACTACGCCACCTGATTTCGAGTTTGAGGCAGCTGGAGCGAGATTGACGCTAGTGGATCCACCGCCACCAGAACCTGTTGACTTGGGGGATTCTGACTCTGCCGCCTTTGGTGTCGTGACTGGCGTCATGGCGATCGAGTTCTTGCGGGATGACTTCTTGGACGCTCGTGTGGAGGACGGCCCAACGGGAGGATTGCCACTGCCTCGATTTCGCTTTTTGATGACGTCTGTCTTGAGCGACAGTGGCCGAACTACACCGTGGAGCTTCAGGAACAGACCGCATGCATTGCAAAGTGGGGCACCTTCTGGGTTGCGGCGCCAGAGAGGCGTTGTCTGTGTGAAGCAGTTGGTGCACGTTGTGGGAGCACCGCCCTCACCAGGCTTCGTGCCACCAGGACTTTGAGGGCGAGACGGTGCAGCAGAACTGAATCCTGATTCCGGTGGTGAATTAGGCGATGACTGTGTTCGGCCGTGCATAGCTTGATGTAACAACCCCGCTGCGTTTGGTGTCGAGCTAGTGCGGGGTATTTTCTGGCGACGTGGGTCGCTCCCACGGTTTCGAATGTCACTCACAGAGGCGGCTGAGCCATGAGTTCGGCCAAGGCTGCCTCCTGGACTCCAATGGTCTTGGGGCGAGTGTATCTCAGTAGGTCCAATCGTGACGGTTTTTCGTGGTGGTCCTGCTGGATAGCGTGCCTGCATGGGGTTGAACTGATTGGACAAGTTGGTCTCCCATTGATAGTTTGTGCTGAAATCAAGTGAGCCATCATCCATGGGTGAGAACTCTTGTGTCGGTATGTTGCGGTCGGCAAATGCACTGCCTTCATCGTCCTCTGCATCCGAATCCGCACCAAACGTGAACATGTTTTCGTTTCGTGACATTTGCATCTCATGCTGCTGTCGAAGAGGCAAGCTGTTGTGGAGGACCTGCGAGGGGTCGACGTGACTAGATTGGCCATACGAAGTAGCCGAGAATGGTAGAGACGAGCTCGCGCTTGTGACGGGACTAAAGACCGAGTCTGGTCCGCCACCGTTTGGGTTGAAGACGAACTGGGGCTGCATAGACGTCGACAATGCCGAAGGGCGGTGTGAGCCATAGGAGACGCCACTATGCTGACTACGGATATCCATGCCATTGCGATCGAAATACATTTGGTCGTCGTTCATAGGTTGAGGCGTAGAGACGGCAGAAGGGAAGGCAGAGCTTGGGGGCGAGTAGTAGTCTGTCGAGTTGAGAGAAGAGGCTATCGAGTTGGGGTTGAAAATGTTGGGGAACGAGGTGCCGTGATTCATCATGGGTGAACCGACGGGAGAGAAGCCAAAGTTCTGCTGGAAAGGGCCTGCTGAGTTTATGACGGGGTCCTCATGCATTTGGAAAGTGTCAATCGAGAAGGGTACCTGCGCCTGCGAGGCGGGAAAGGCGGGAGGCTGCATCGAGTGGTCGAGGGAGTAATGGTTCAGGTCGGCCTCGGCCTGGGCATCGGTAGGTATCATGATGCTGTTGACAGGAGGGACCTGGGGAGAGGCTTCTGCTCGTCGTTTGGGTGGCTGATAAGGAAATTAGCAAGGAGCGCGGAGGGACATGATGGGCGCAAAGAGCAAGCAAAGAGCAAAGATAAGTGACTTACTCGGCGTTCGTCGATGCTGGTCTTGCGAACGTGGCGGGGCACATAGCCAAACTCATTCTCTCTGGTGATCTGGGGAGGAACTGGTGGAGCTGAAGCGTGGGCGAGGGAGAGGTTGTGGTCGTTGGGCTGGTTCGCCTTCCTTATCGGCACCCCAGTTCCGGGAGTAAACGAGGCGTCTGCCCCATTCGACGGTTCTGGCGACAATCCTGCAGGGCTGCCGACGGACGAGGGAAATATAAAGTCGTCCAAGTTCATGGTGTCTTGGGGCGGTGGAGGCGGTGGCTGGTGCACCTGCGCCTGCTGGTCGGCAGATCGTCTCAGCTGCTGTGCGATGCCACTGGGGGCAGTCCGGGGCGGCGGCCTTGCGGTCGCTGGTGGCGGAGACATGAAATCATTGCTCTGGGGACTCGAGGCTGATCGTTGCACACTACAAGCAGGGTTAGCGCTTGGGGGAAGCATGGTGAGCGGCGGCAGCGGTGCAGAGGGTCTGAGGGTATGGCGTCTTTCGTACCCGTTATTGCGCTCGAACTCTGCGCGGCGCATATTAAGGGCCATCATGCGCCAGGTCAGGTTGGACATTCGCTCAGCGTTTGGCAGCTGTGTCTTGGCGCGTGAGTAGAGCTTCCATATCTGCGTGCCCAGAGGGTCGTTCTTCTGCAGTTCGGTGGGCGACTCTGGCCTCGCGGTGCTGGCGTCGTTGCCAAAGGCCGGGAAGATGGGCTCGTCGAGCATGCCGCCGGGCGACGGCGCGGGGCTGCCCTCTCGCAGCTGGTGCTCAAAGTCCATGGCTGCGACAGGCGAGGGAGAGGAGGCAGGTGAGCGTGCCTGTGAGTGTGCCAGCGCCAGTGCGTGCCTGTGCCGGCGAGCAGCGATGATGTAGTCGCTGGGTCGGAGCGTCGCTCTATTCGGATGGGCGCACCCCACGTAGGCGGTATGGGCTGGGAGTGGGCCAGCTAGATGCAAGTGCAGCCGTGTTGCTGCGACGGCCACGGTCGTCAAGACGCAAGAGGATGCAGAGGGGCGAGGGGCAGGGCTGGGGGGGTGCTGGCGTTGCGAGGGTGCGTGCAAGACTGCGGTGCTGTGGTGCGCAATAGTGCGGCGTCACGCAGCGGTGCCGGCTTGGAGAGGGC